AAAGAAACCCGATTAATTATTGGCAATTAAATGTGCGTAAAAACAWTTTTGCGCGGTGCTGCCACCTGTTTCGTAAGTTTTTGTAAAACATTTACATACGTTATCAAATATGGATAAACCCCTGAAGCTGGGGTTACATAACTAAAAATAATATTTCTGGAATTTTCTTCTAAAGAGAGTTGCCACCTTTCTTTAATTGTTTATTCAACAAACTAATTGACTTCGATTACTTTAACACGAGCGTCACAAAATTATATTTTGGCTGCATATATGTATGTATGTACTATGTATTTATAACCAGAGTTGCCACCTGATCGAAAAAATTAGAAAAAACATACAAATAAAAGGTATCGAACTGCAAACAACAAATAAATAAATTTTTTTGTGAGCTGTGTTGCCACCTGATACATTTTTTATTTTATGTTTAAATAAATAAAATATTACAAAAAGGTATGAAACAAATCACATTTCATAAATTTTATAATTTTAAAAAGATATGTTAATAAAAAAGTAATTAAAAAAAAAAAAAACGTTGAAATCGGTTCCAAATTCCTTAACAGAAATCTCTTGATAAATTTAATATTATTTAGAGGATGAGTTTAATTGAGATAAAAAAGAACGAATTTTTGTCCTAGTAAGACTCAGCGACTTTGGATCAACCCCACGACTTAAACTAACCTTACCAGATTCGTCTACAATAAATATTTATTGTAAATTTGATGTTTGACATTAATCATTTTTAGCACTTCTAAGAAATTAATTATGACAATAAAAAATTTTTTATATAAAAAATATAACTTTTATATATAATCCTTGTTGCTGAATATGACTATGGCAAATTTCACTGTTCTCCACTAACCTTTACGTTTTTAACAAAAATTAGTGAAATTGAATCGAATTAAATACTATTATTTAAGTTTTGCTATTATATTATTATGCACAATTACTTCAGCTAATTTAATTCGTTAATTCTGTTTTAATTGAAAAAAGCTCAATGATAATTACACATTATTTAGTTATAATAGTATTTCGGAAACGATTAATTTTAGCTAGTGGAACAGTGTTAAAATTCAATGAAATGCCAAATTTTTTTTCGGATTCAAATAATTGCTACACACTCACAAGCATATACCAAAGCAACGCTCGCCATAAAAGCTAATAACACAGCCACTTAATTAGCAACGCAGCTAATGCATACACCCTACAATTACGCAAATGCATACATTCACATATATGTTGTATGTGAACATTTTATTAAATTTCTAGCGCATACCATGGAACGGAATTTATACCGTTAACACTAATATATGAAAGTTTATGATTTGTGTTCCGCTAATTAAATCGGCCGTACACACGCGCAACGCCAGCAAGTGCACTCCGAATTGTGTTAGTTCACAAATACACACATACACATAGACATGGACATGTGAATACACGCTTACATGGCATAGCAGCTGTTTTATTTGGCGCTGCATAAATTTGCCTTGTTAMAGATAAAGAGTGACACTTATAAACTGAAATATGCAAATTGCCTACGTGCAACGCGAAATTGTTAACCCAAAATGGCAAAATGGCAGACTAATGCACACACAAATCAACCCTTATGTTTGTCGGATTGTGCAGCTAGTTGTGTGAGCTTTTGTTTTGCTAACGAAAATTCAATGAAGAGCTCTATAGAAATCTATTTATTTCGGTTTTGAAACTAAAAATGGCAAATAGTAAGCCTAAATGTTGCATGAATAGTGATGAGCATTTATTTAAACACAAAACTCACGTTTTTTTGCTGTATGCCCAATCGAGGCCGAGGTTGCGTATACGCCCCGGCGTACAATACGAACTACGACTATTTGTATGCGCAGGATAACCATTTTGGCATTTAGTAGCACGTGATTAAACTGACTAATTTGAATGGCAGTTGGCATAAATAAATACGATAATTATAGTAAGGCGTATGCATGTATGTATGTATGTGCTTAGTTCAATAGCAAAAAGTTAAGCAGAAAATCACTAAGCGGATTGCTGGCATCTTTTCTCTGAACTATGCTTGGTATAAGCTTAAAGTAAGCATACTAAATACTAGAAACGATTTAAATAAGCTTAGTAGGCACACGATTGTGCAAAAAAATTTTCCATTTGTTCGCATTGTAGTATATATGTATTTCTATATAAATATATCTATTATAGGTATGCTACTTCCATATTCAATTAAGCGCTTTCTATTTAGCAAAATGACAGGTCGCAAGTCATTCTTTGTAACTAAATTTGAGTAGRGGAACACGTGTTCTATACTAAATAGCATAAGTAATGAAAGCAGCTTAAGGAATGCAAATGGGAGGGAARAAATGTCCATATAAAAAAATAAGTKCAGRCTAGCTTAGGGGTTACAKGGGTTTACGGGTTTAAGAAAATATATTGAATTCTACAATACCTCTAGAATATTGTCCTAAATTTTSAAGTGGATTTGAGTAATAGTTTCGGAGATACAGCCTTGATAGCATCTTCTTTAAGCGCGTTTGTCTTGAAACTGTGTTTTCGAAATCAGTTGGCGAAATTTCTCGCGAACTACTCAACCGATTTTCATTAAATTTCACATAGGTCTTTGAGATATAATTCTTAAACGAAAGATTTTTTTTTCAATTACAAATACTTGAGAAATACGTCGCGAAATTTTCACTAAAATTATCATTTTTTYGTAAAAATGTCTGCCAAAAATCTAATTTTCAGTTTTTTCCTTCGTCCAAGTTCTAAGTTAAGTAAGGTATGTATATAGGAGGTATGTATTTAATAAATCCAATACAGTACGGAATTGCAAGTGTACCTCTGCAAATATTAATTTATACAACTGTAAGATACAGGGTGGRCCATCTAACGTTTAAAATTTGAATTATCTATATTTCGACATTGGAAACGTCAAATACCATTCGGAAAGTGACAGATATTCAGTAAAACGTYTAAAGTTTACGAAATGGGTCGCTATTCACTAGAAGAAAACTTGGAAATATTGAAAACTTTTTTCCAAAGATCGTTTGCCCGAGAATGTTCATTTTTACCGAAAAATCATCTTTTCCCACGAGGCTCATTTCCACCTCGATGTTTACGTTAACAAGCAGAATTGATGCATTTGGGGCACAGAAAACTCGCACGTAATCGTCGAGAAGCCAATGCATACAGCACGAATCACTGTATGGTGCGGATTTTGGTCTGGTGGAATCTTCGAAAATGAAGACGCAAAGGCCGCAAACATCAATGGTGAGCGGTATCMCGCAATGTTAACCGAATTTTTCTTCAAGCAAATTGAAGAGAAATACTTGGACAACAATTAGTTCCAGCAGGATGGCGCTACGGCGGAGCCATACAGCAAACGCTACATTCAATCTTTTACGCCCTATCTTCGAAAATCGCATAATCAGCAAAAGAGGTGATGTGAATTGGCCTCCCAGAAGCTGCGATTTAACTCCGTTGGACTATTTTCTGCGGAGAGCTGTTAAAGATAAATGTTACGCCAACCATCTAGAACCCATTCAGATTTAAAGTACGAGATTCAAGCGGCTGTAGCTGCCATAAGGCCTGAAACCATCGAGAAAGTACTCCAAAATTGGGTGGGTCGGATAAGCTACTGTAAACTCARCCGTGGTGGTMATTTGWCYGAAATTGTTTTCCAMAAATAAATTTCATAARACAACCTTTTAAATAAATATGAGAGCTTTGAAAAACATCAAGCCGTTTTTTTTTGGTTGACTTTTTAAATTTAAAATTTTATATGGCCCACCCTGTATATTCGTTGCCATCTTCCCTTATAGAGCACTATTTCATCGGCATTTGAAATTTATAGTTTTCAGAATATCAAAGCAGAAGAATATCTCACTTTAAAGGTTAGATATTTTTACAAAAATATTCCTGCAAAGAGTTGCAATTAATATCAACTTTACTTCTGGTTGGATCGAAAACAGTATAGTTAACGAATCTATATTTTTCAAAACTCTATTAATTAATATGCTGGTCAAATTGCCTGTTTTTCATTATAATAAGCATAATATCCTTTTTACTTAATCGTTCAACAATTTATATATTTGTAATAAAATTATTTGCACTCACCTGCATTGAACGTCGACTGGAACCGCTATTCGAGCGCGAGAGCATCGGTGGTCGACGYTTGGTGGCACCACGTCCGGCCAGTAAATTATTCAGCAAAGATGGCGAACGAGCACATATGAATGCATGAAATGAGGATACAGTGAAGACGCCCAATTTATTCAAAGTGTTCTTAGTTGGCCGTGAGACGTGTGTGAGCAAGGACTGAAAGGAGAGAAATTTAATTTTAYTAATTAATGAACAGAAATCAAAATAATTTTATTGGTTGCACTTATTATGCCTASATATTAATAAGTGCTTAGAARAATMATTTTATTTTCATAAGTAAGCATTTTTGCGCTTGGWATTCCGCATTTTTTTGCTGAAAACATTGTTGCTTTGGTCAATAGGATAGATGCATCTAAAGTACATTTATTTGGAGCTCTAAATATCAGTTGGTTCTTACAGCATATATTGTTAAAAATTTTTGGTTAGGTTAAAGAACTTTCTGTTAAGAAGTCATGGAGAGGTTTGAAGATTTTAAATAATGAGTTCCTTGTTATAATCAGCAATGTGATCGAATTTTGTTTGAACTAAGCAGAAATATAAAGCAAAAGCTATAAGGAAGAGAGAAATTACAGATTTTTTAAAAAAACATTTTAGGCAAATGCTACCACTAATCTCTTGAAAGCTCAAAATTCAAATATAAATTTACTTCAAAAGTAACATACAACTGAATTTCTAGTCAACCATGTATCTGTTTTTCCAAGAACTCTCTTCTGGTAACCTTTGAAATTCGTACAGTTAGAACCTTTAATCTCTACCATGGAGAAATATTATCAATAACAACCATGGCTTCATACATATGAACATATACATATACATATGAATACCCGGGAAGACGAAATACTTCCAAAAAGTAACAGAAAATCGACACAGACCTGTTTGARCTAGTCTGGAGTGCACTCTAGCGTGTATCAAAGGCATCAATTGATGACGACACGAAACTAATAGCATATGCAGATGATCTCATGCTGGTAGATGTGGCTAAACAATTARTCGGYCTAACAAATAAATCCAATGAKTGCTTAAATGCCAATAGTTCTCTTCTATGAGTCTGGAACTGGCGGAGCAGAAAAGAGAAGCTCTACTGATAAGCAGCAAAAATGTGGAAGAACGAATAGATTTCACCATAAGGGAGTACTTCATAGCCGTAGRTGAAGTATTTATGTGGAAGTAAGATTAATTTAAAGAATATCTGGCGTACCAGGTGCGTTCCAAAGTAAACAGGACTTTTTGAATCTAGCCTCTCCTGGTAGCGCCACGACCCGTACGACAGAATCTGCTATCCTTATCGATTGCCCAGTGAGAATCTCATTACATTATATAGATTGGAAGCAAAGTTATCGCGTTTTAAGTGTCATTATGTTTGCGTTATYGGTGCGAAAATGAGCTTCGAACAAAGAGCCAACATTAAATTTTRTTTTARAATTGCTAAAACTTTTACAGAAATGTTTCAATTGATGAAACAAGTTCATGGCGATGATTGCCTATCCCGTAGCAGAGTGCACAAGTGATTTCAATGTTTTCAAAGTAGCCGTGATTACATAAATGACGATCAGTATGTGGGMCAATCAAACTCTGTGATCACTTCCATCGAAACTGTACGTGAATTCATCAAAAATYATCCTTAAATTCATGGAAATGGAATTGAACATCTCCAAAACATYGATTTATCACATTTTGCAGGGAAATTTGGGCTTACGAAAGAYATGTGCACGATTTGTCCCRCACAAATTGACTGACGACCAAAAATTGCTCAGAATCCAACATTCGAAAGACGATTATTTGACCAAAAATCACATTTTAACCATTAACCACTCACCGTATTCACTTRATATGACACCATGCGASTTCTACCTTTCCGGAAAAWTGCATTTGCCCAAGGAAAAGGAAAGGAAAGCGTTATGCARAYGTASAKGCCATTCAAAGGCTTGCACCGGCATACTGGCTGCCATACTGGACAACGAGCTAAAACATTCGTKCGACATGCTTTYGGACCGTGCATAAASTTGAATTGAAGCAGARGGAGAATATCTTGAATAAAATAATTTGATTTTGCTGAAAAAATAATTTGTTCTGTTTTTTTGAAGTCTTGTTTACTTTGGAAAACACTTTTTTTACTTCTGGTAAAGCAAACAAAATTCATAATGTTCTAGATCGAGAATGATGGAGAACAAAGGCTGCGTACGCACCAGCCGACGATTTTTAATAACAAAAGCGATCCAAAATATCCAAATTTTATTGGTCATGGGTGCCTTAGAAGCTACCTTTACAGATTTCACAATGACATTACTCCAAACTGGAGATATATTAATTTACTAGCCTCGCCTTTAAAATATAAGGAGAAAGCTTAAAATCATACTCGGTGATAGTTTTACGGTCGATAACACTGACCTACACTCATTTTGGTGCCTAAGATTTTATACCTAATTTGGGATGTATCTTGTGAGTTGATACGAGAAAACAAGTCACATTTTCCATATCACCTCTTGTTCATAAGAAAGAAGAAAAAAACATCTAGTAGCGGGAATGTGGTTCATACTACCTACTATACCGACTAGTGGTGCGCACAGAGCTGCACTAAACCAACATTTTTTTTTTGTAGGCCAGTGCAAATTAAAGACACCAATATGTCAGTCGACTAAGAAATGGAAAGCAGTTGATGAAGCGTCAACATTCATAATAACATAACTGAGACTTTTTCAATAGATTAGGTGTCCGTCGGTTTACATAATGGAGGAGACTTAAATGTCTTATAACTCCCGCGAAGTAATATTTGACCGGTGATTACGTGGTAGAGTTCCGCAGAGAGTTGGGAACCGCCGCTGGAMCTAGCGGCTGGAAGATCTACACTCCAGATTTCGGTGTTTCCACCAACTATAAAAAAAGGATCTCAACAGCTGTCATTTATTGATACAAAAAACTTTCGTCAACATGAAACTGATTCAAACACGAAACAAGCGTCATCAACAAATTTTTTTCAGATCACTATCGCTTCGAAATATTTAGGTCATATGCAAATATTTCAATTGTGAAAATCGGCTATGTTAGAAGTTTCCAAAAATTCATTAAAATTAAAATAATTTTCAGAAGCTTAAAAATTTCATAACGAAAAATATATTATTAACGAAATTCTTCATTGCTGAAATCTCCGCAGTTGCAAGCAAATGACTGATATATGCATATTTCTCAACTCCCAATCCGCCCGTTAGCAAACAAATCTCGTCGCGGCTTAGTCGAAGTAAACCTATTAACACATTATGGATTGGCACATAACAGCACAGGAATGCTGATGGAATGATAACACAATCTAATTAACAAAAAAAAAAAAAAAA